CCATATTTTCAATATTTAATACACACACAAATTATAGTAGTTTTTAACGTATTAAATATACTACGTAGTTTTTTTTAAAAAGTATACTACGTAGTAATTACTTGTACTTTATAATGTATAAAGTAAGGTAATACAAATATGTGTGTATGGATGCGTTTATACACATTGTGTCTGCACAAAACATTCACATTTTTAATATTAAATATATATAAAAGATTGGAAATAAAGTTAAAGAATTTATTTTAGTTTATATTTTATTTTTATTGTGAATTTACCACAAAATACAATATTTCATTTTTATATTTAATAGTTTCAAATTGTATTTTATTTTATATTTTTATTTTCTAATTTCTTATTTTTATTTTTCATAATTTTGACTCTTTTTAATGGTTGAGGGATGAATTGAATAGTTTGGACGAGTTCAAAGGCTAATTTGACCCATTGAGTTGCCACCTCAGATACAGTTGGCACATTTTGTCATGACGTGGCACTGACGGGATGGTTACATGTAAATATTTAAATTTAACTTTTTTATCCAGTTCAATGTGTCAATTGGAGTTTGTCTTAGTTCAGATGGAGAATTGACCATAACAGACATGTATATATAAGGGTCTGACCTATTTGATCCTTTAACCTAGCCTAAATGATTTAAATAGGATTTTAATTCTGTATTGTCAAAACAAAATTTGGTAAATCAAAATTTTGGCTAGCTTTCTTTGTATTTAATGCCGAACCAAAATAGATGTTGGGTTCGGTAATTACTTGTATAGTTGTATTAATTTGATTTTGTTTACGGGTAAATCAAAACCAAAAAACTCAATTACACTTTTCTAGTGTTCAAGTAAGATAAGGAAAAACAAAAGTCTATAGTGATTGAAGTCCAATAAAATCATTTGTTGTCTCTTTTATATTCATTTCACAAAGTCATACAAAAATACGATGACCGGCCTCAAATGCTAAATTCAAATAACAGTAATAATAAAAAACCAAACAATTACGATTTCTAGTTATATGAAATTATGAACATGGGCAATCAATTTTACATGCCGGTATTGTTTGTTATAAAATAATATAAACATGCATTACCTCATAAAAACAAAACAGTAGACCTAAAGATAGCATATTCGCAAAAGAATAGTAGAGCATTTGCAAAGGAATGTGATGAAAAGAATAGAAAGAGCATGTTGAAATGTAAACATTGAAACTCTCTAAAGTGGGACTTGTTGATTTTTGTGAGATAAGTAACACATTTGCAATTAACGTAAATATATATATGTTTGAATATAATTTAATATTTCAGTATTGAGTAAAATTGAAGTACTAATTAGTTTGCCGAATTATAAACACCCCTAGATCTAAATGAGGTAAAAACACAGCTAAAGATCAAACATGATGTAAATCCATTATTAGAGCCCGTTTGGTAGCAAGAAAATCGGATGATTTGGCTGATTCTGCTGTTTTAAGAAGAAAAAAAATTTAAAATATATTTTATTAATAAAATAAAGGAAAAATTATATGTAAAATAACTAAAATGGTCATCTACTATAACTTCAACCAATACGGTCAGAAAAGTAACTTCAACCTTACTTTTAATGCTTATTACACAATTTAGCGCGCGAAAGCAAAAGTTTCATGTTTGATGAAAAAGTTGGCTGATAAGCCTGATAAGCCGAAAACAAGTGTTGCCAAACGGCCTCTTAATCACCAATGATCAGAAGAAATGAAAAAGAACTTTCATATAAGATGAGGAATGAACACAAACGATAGTAAATTAAATTTTAGATCATTGGCACCCTATGAGATTAATAGATTTTATTGCACAGAATTAAACACATCACAAAATTTGTTTAGATTTGAAACGATAAATATTATTTGACATTTACCTAGAATTAGTTATATCATCGTCTTCAGACGTTGAGTTTTTGTATTAACAAATGCTGAAATGCATATGCACTTGGAAATGTGTCTATTGTCTATTTGTCTGAAACATTGCGTGTCCAATTGCTCCCTCATTATTTTACAGTTGTTTTCTTCTTCTATTCTCAACAAAATTGAAGAAAAATACAAAGATATGCTCCTTAAGTCGGTAAATTATACCGTACACCCGGTTGTACGGTCCTCACCGTACAACCAGGTATTTTTGTAATTACCTTACCTCCATCCGGGTGCTCCACGATCCGCGACAGACGACTGCGCACACCTCCACCAACCTAGAAGAGGAGACAAATCAAGTGGAATGTGAGATCTATTCTCTCGCTAACAATCGACAAGGGGATGCGGTTTCATAATCGCTTGGGCATTTCTCTGCGGATTTTATTTGAGGAAGACTCTGTTGTTCCAGTAATTATTTTGAAAGAAACGTAGCTATTTTAATTTTTTTTTCCTATCTTGTTGGATGTTTATAAAATTGGTTCGAATTAACTATTTGGTGTTCACGTAGCTTATTAGAAAGCTGTTACTAGCAACATAGGTGGAAAGATTTGGAGTGGAAAATGATTTGAGGATGATCACTGGATTTAAGAAATTTTACAGAACAAAATAAGAAAAATTAAGACTCATAAAGTGAATGAAAAGAAATGTGAGGATCACGATAAAAGAAATTCGCACTTGATTTGTCTACTACTTAACTAGTAGTAGAGATAACCAAGAACTCTATACTGTTTTATTGATATGAGGATACACAAATGAAAATTTGAGCATAATACATATTTTAAATGAGCATTTTGAATTTTTTATGCTCATTTCATTATATATGTATGCTCATTGCTATAATACTCATGCATATTGCTATAATTTATTATATCTCTCTTTGTTACGCAAATGAATATTTGAACACATCAGAGATTTTAATGAGCTTTTGAATTTTTAAATGCTCATTTTATAATATATGTATACTCATTCGGGACTGCTGTTATGCTCATTTTAAAATGTCAAATCAATGCTCATGAAACTAACTAACGCTCAACAGAATAAGTATCATGTTCATTAAAAGTGTATTAATGTTCATTTACTTTAGATTCACATATTGAAATTCATAGGAGTTGATTATAAATATAATTTAATAAGTTTTTATAAAAGAAAAAATAGCAAAAAAAGAAAGTGAATTAAAGGTTACGAAGCTTAGATCATGATTCTGAATGTTAGACTCCTAATACTCAAAATAATAGGTCTAATGCTCATTAAAAGTTCATTAATGTTCATTCACCAGAAACCGCGATTTTTATCTCAATAGCCGAGATTTGATGCTCAATTAAAATGTCGTGATGTTCAACTAACAAACATACGATTTTCATATCAATGTGCACTTTGTAAGTATGTATGCTCATTTAGTACTAATTTTATGCTCATTTTCTAAATGGATATCAATGCACTTTTTAAAAGTACTATTTTACATTAGATTCACATATTGAAATTCATATGAGTTGGTTATACATATTATTTAATACGTTTTTATGAAAGAAAAAAATAACAAAAAGAAAGTGAATTAGAAGTTATGAAGCAGAGATCACGATTCTGAATATTAGAATCCTAATACTCAACATAATAGGTTTGATGCTCATTAAAAGTTCTTTAATGCTCATTCACCAGAAACTGTGATTTTCATCTCAATATCGGATGTTTGATGTTCAATTAAAATGTCGTAATATTTCAACCAACAAACTTTACGATTTTCATATCAATGTGCACTTTGTAAGTTATGTATGTCCATTTGGTACTGATATTATGCTCATTTAATTTACAATGTAATATCAATGCATATTTCAGAAGTATCATATAATATTAGACTCACATATTGAAATTAATAAGAGTGGATTATAGATATAATTTAATAAGTTTTAATAAAAGAAAAAAGAAAAAGAAAAAAATTTAAGATATGAAGCAGAGATCGTGATACTCATTATTAGCCTCTTAATACTCAATACAATAGGTATGATGCTCACTAAAAGTACATTATTGCTCATTTATTGGAAGCCGTGATTTTCACTCAAATTATAAAAATGTCATAGAAAAAAGTGGCTGCATAGTACATACACACGGATATAGCCCAGAAGTCAAAATTGAAAAACTTGAATTATTGACTTATTGACTTTTGCCCAAAAAGTGGCTACATAGTACAAATGTTTATTAACCAAAAAATGGCAGCGTGTGGTATGAAGTAAATTGAAAAATGGTGGATTTGTTTTTCGATCTTCGATCTGAATCTTACTTTTTCATTGTAAAACACTTCCGCCAAAATCAAATTCTACTTTGCATCATGGAGACGCCGCTGGAGAAGAATCCATCCATCTCTTGATGTCTTATTATGTTGGCGATGAGGAGAAAATCATAGGAATCGAAATTGAGGCTGTGGGTTGACGGTGCAGGTGCCACCGCCGTTCTCCTAGAGGAAGCTATTGGAGTTTTGCGGGACCAAGATTGTTGATGAGCGTGTCATTTCTCTATCTGTTAATGAGCTTCTAATTTAATTAAATTTAATTGGACCAGATGTACGTACATCCGGGTGTAGGATATAGGAACTCCCTTAAGCCCCCTAGAAAGGTTCTCACTTTTCTTTTTTTAACATCTCATATACAGGTTCTTATTTCCATTTTAGAAAACAATTAACAATCTTAAATGATAAATTAATCATTAGATATTAAAAATAATACATTTATAACATCACAATTATCAACATCAACCCCATTATATTATATACCTATTAAAATTATTTCTCATAATATTCTTGAACTACTTTATTTAATTATTATCTAAATAATCGTGTCGTTTTGTCATGGGAACCTTTCAACGGGACATAAGGAGTACTAATGTTGTGGTGTAGCCGTGTAGTGGTATTGCATATTTATATTGTTCTACTCTAAATTTCCCATTTTCGAATCCATTTGCACCCAAGCAACTTTTCAATACGTTTTTCTTTTCTATAAAACTGCAGGGGAAAAGAGAACAACTTTTGCAAGGAGAAAATCTTAAAAGAACAACTTTGATATCTCATCCCAAGCTACAAATCCAAAAGTGCATTCACTAACTTCAATGGTCACTACTTGCAGAGTAGCAGAGGGACTTATAATAAACAACCTCAAGTTCCTCACATCCCTTTCGAGTTGATATAGTACATTTGTTCGGTTTACGATACAACTTTGATGTCACAAGCCTTTATCCATAAACATATAAATATGACTTTAAGCCATTCTTATGCACTGCTAGACAACTTATGAATTATGATTGTAAATCAAGTTACATGAAAATAAAGCAGCAGACTTTAAGATCTGTTGCAATAATAATTCTTTGCATAATACAATAGCATCGCGGTACAATACTTTCATTCCAGCTGTAAGTGCGTGTCATGAGCTGTTCTGGAGATTGCCAGGACAGACGGGAGGTATTAAAGCATTTTCAGTGGAATAACAATGATCACTGTGCATTCCATCATCCCTATCAGGTGATCTTACTGTACCATGCAAGATTCTATATCTTAGAAATAAGTAAGGAAGAGAAAAATGCCTCGTTGCTAGTTGTGGTCTTGGTGAATCCTCGGCCGAACCACCAGAAGAAGAATTGCTATCAAGTGCAGAAGCTTCCTCTCTAAAACTATTTTCCGTGGAAGAAAGACTCATACTTCCACTACCTAAATCCTCTAAACAAGAGCTTATTTCACACCGCCTCGAGCCTTCTCTCAACTTCAGTAGTGTTGTCTCTACAACATCACAAGTTCAGGACCAACTGAGATTCAATTTATCAAAAACATAAAAGCCAAATTAAGTGATTAAGTGTGTATTTTTGACTAGCTATATGTTTCTCTTTGGAAAGTCTTTCGAGAAAACATAATGGGAGAGGAGCAAATATATCCTTGACTATGTGTAAAAGAGAAAATAAACTCCTAAGCATTCTCTTGGAACAATTAAACCCCTATAGAGTTGGAACAAATATGTACTTATATCCATATAATTAAGGGGCATATATGTTCTTTGGTAAAAAAGAATATGTTATTTGGTTTATAGTTGAGGCCCGAGGGGTATATGTGCTCTTTTATGTACGTAGTATAATTCAAGGGTATATTTGTCTCAACATTACATCTTTTGGGTTTAGTTATTTTAAAAGAAAGTTGAGGGGTACATTCATCCTCTAAAATATAGTTCGGAGGTATATTTGTTATTTTCTCCCTAATAAAAAAGGGCAGCCCAGTGGTGCCCATTGGCGTCCCTGCAATGCAAGGGTTTAGAAGGGTCCCACCACAAGGGTATATAAGGATTAAGGGGCAAGTCTACCCTTGTCATTTTTGACAAGAGCCTCTCCCCTAACTTATGCGCCAAGGCTCCCCTTCTATTTTTCCCCATAAAAGTATTAAAAATAAATTCAAAGCAGAATCCAGATCCTCATTTAGCTAGACGAATGTTTCACAGATAATTTACAAATTCACCATTCCCCCTAACAAGGCATTAGCTAGAAGTACTTTCTACTAGTATAGTAGTTGTTGGGTAAATGGCCCCGAGCAGGGGTCCGGCCCAATTACCCCCAAACCGACGTACGTCGCCCAGCCCACGGATGGCCCTGGCCTGAAGGAATGAGGACGAATGTCTGTCTCCGGGATAACAGCATAAGGTCCCGGCCGAGGGTCGGTTAGCACATCCGTGACGAACGTCGTCAGCCGAGGCCCATCTCCGTAGAGGGCCCAGGCCCAAAAGATTGTTACGTTCTCAGGAAGGGCCACAGACGAACGGCCCCCGGGTCTACCAGACGATCGTGGTCATTAATTAGGCGGGGAACCCAGATTCTGGCGGGAAGCGCATTTAATGCCGGAGATTTGGTGGTTGGGCCACAACCACTAACAATCCTCCACATCATCAGGACTAACTGCCCATTGGCGGGTATAAATAGTAGCATTTATTTCATTGTAAAGGGTTGGCAACTTTCTATTCTTAGCATACTAGCTTCAGCATTCTTGCTTGCAGCATTTCTAAGTGCCTTGTAAGACGAACGGCCGACGTGCCTTTTTAGCAAGTAGATTGTATTTAGGGGAGTTGTTACGAAGTTAATAATACCTACTTACATTGCCTGCTGTTTCTCTTGTTTCCTGATCCATCTGAAAGTTGTTGGGCTAGATATCCACACACTCACTCCACTCGAAATCTTTGGGCTTACGTGTTGGGTCCAAGGGTTGAAGGAATAAACCTCAACACTGGCGCCGTCTGTGGGAACCTGAGCAAAAAGTTTCCAGAAACTCTCCCAAACAGCTACTAAGTCTACCTACAGCAAACACGATGTCAGGAAGCAACAACCAGCGTGATCTCTCCGAGCGTCTGGAGTCGAGCCGCCGGAATCGCGGCCAGAATTCGGAACTATCCGCAACGATATGGACCTCTGGAGGAAACGGGGGAATCACTGACCTCATTCCCCTGGAGGCCAGGCAGGATCCCCGCCTCATGCGGGAACTCGCAGACACCATGCGTCGCATGGCGGACGAGCGGGAGGCCCGAGATCAGGTGTACTCTGCAAGCACCCAGCGAACACCCCTCTCTCCCATACGCCGCATGCAGTCGTATGACGATACGACGGGATCCAGCGACCACCGGCCCTCAGTCCACGAGCGGCTAGATGGGGGTTCAGGCTCCCGTGAGACGGGAGGGCGAACCAGGGTCAGCATCGCTGCATCCAGGGCTCTCACGCCATCGGTTCCTCGCAAGATCCCGCAGGGAGACGAGACCCCAAGGGTCAACGCCGTTGGACGACGTTTCCAACGGCGAGGAGCGCAGATCTTCAGGCGGCCGCACGATGCTGTGGCTGCTCAGCAGAACGTCACCCCCGAAGCCGCGCCCCCTGTGTCCCCCGGAAGGGCCACACAGGACGCACGGCTGGAAGCCATGGAGAGGCAGATAGCCGAGATGAATAGGCGGGCGGACGTCGGCTCGGCCACACCCTCCTTCTCACTCACATCACCCTTTACTCCACGGGTGATGAGCGTCGAGATCCCCCGGGATTGCAGACCCCCGGGAAACTTGGTGTATAATGGGGCTGGCGATCCTAAGGCCCATCTGATAAGCTACCAAGGGAACCTCTCCATGCTGGGAGCATCGGACGAGGCCATCTGCAGATTGTTCTTCAGCACCCTCAGGGGGCCAGCTCAGGAATGGTTCGGCCAGTTGAGACCAGGCACCATTGACTCATACGAACAGCTTTCCCGGCAGTTCATGGCACAGTTTGCTGCCAGTACCACCCCCAGGAAGGACGTCACGGCTCTCGCCCACATCAAACAAGGGCGGGACGAACCGCTGGCTAGGTTCCTGGTAAGGTGGAGGGACGAGGTACTACAGGTCGACGATCTGGACGAGCGTCTGGCCACCAACATGTTCACCAGTGCGCTGGCCACAGGGGATCTATACCGGGACCTGAGGAGGAATCCCGGCACCAGCTACACCGAGGTTTTGGCTCGGGCACAAAAGTATGCCTCCATCGAGGAGGAGATCAGGCAGCGGGACGGAGTTCCCGCGGCCCACCCACGGAAGATGGCGGACAGGCTCGGACCCGGACCAGGAACCGGGCCCTCCCCCCCAAACAAAAAGAAAAAGGTGGACGGGGCAATGGTCCCTTGGAAGGCTCCGTCCGGAGACAGTCAAACGCGGCCGGACGACCGCTATTTCCCCTTGGCCTATCCAGTGAGCCAAATCTTCGAGGCCATCAAGGACAAGGGCCTCCTCGTGGAGCCCCAAGACATGAAGAAGCATATGGGGCACGACCAATCGGCCTACTGTGAATACCATCAGAGGGCCGGCCACCTGACAGACAATTGCAGCCAATTGAGGAAGGCAATTGACGAGCTGATCCGCCAGGGGTACTTGGGCGAGTTCACCCAGCTGCTGAACAAAAACAGCCAGCAGAAGCCGAACCCCAGGCACAGGACATGGCGCCGCGACGACCGGCGCGAGGCGGAACCTCAGGACGTGGATTATCGGAGTGCAGATAAACGTCCGGAGGGATCCCTTGGCCCAAAGGGCAAAAAGAAGAAGTTGGAGATCAAGGTGATCTTCGGGGGCGCTGAGACAGGGGATACACCCGCCGAGCGGAAAAAATTTGAGAGATCACTCTATGTGGGTTCCGTATCAGCACCCCCCGCTAAGCGCAACAAAATCGAGGCAATCACCTTCGGTCCCGCCGATCTGCCAATGTCACCAGCGCCGCACAGAGACGAGCTGGTGATCAGCATGGACGTGAACGATGCCATCGTCCGCCGCGTCCTTGTGGATACCGGGAGCAGTGTGAACGTCCTTTACTGGGAGGCTTTCGAGGGAATGAAGCTCAGGAAGGACATGCTGCACCCTCTGCGTACCCCGCTGTCCGGCTTCACCGGGGATTGTATTGACGCTGAGGGCACCATCATCTTGCCAGTGGAGGTCGGCGACGGCCCCCACACCGCCCGGATCGGAATGACGTTCGTCGTGGTCCGCCTGAAGTGCGCCCACAACGCCATTTTAGGCCGACCCGGCCTAGAAGACTTGGGGGCCATATGCTCCGTACGGCACTCATGCATCAAATTCCCCACCGACACTGGAGTGGGAGTAGCACGTACGGACCCGCATATGGCCAGAGCCTGCTACACGAAGGCCATGGAGAAGCTCAACGAGCGGGAGGCTCGGGTCAACAGCATCTCCGAGAAGGCCAAACAAGCCGACTTGGACGCTCATCTGGAACCAGCAACTCTGCTGGAGGAAATTGAACTCGACGATCCGACGGACAGGAAGGTGTCCATTGGTGCGGATCTAGAGCCGGAAATCAGGGCAGGGGTCATAGCCGTCCTCCGGAGGTTCAGGATCTTGTTCGCCAGAGGGCCGGAGGACATGCCGGGCATCGACCCCAACCTCATATGCCATAAACTCGCCGTGCGGCCGGATACCAAGCCTATACAACAGAAGAAGAGATATATGGCGGCCGACCGACGCGATTTCATCAGGAAGGAAACAGCAACTCTCCTCAGCATCAAACATATCCGGCCAGTCATCCACGTGGAGTGGTTGGCCAACGTGGTACTAGCCCCAAAGGGCGACACTTGGCGGATGTGCGTCGATTACTCGGACCTCAACAAAGCTTGTCCGATGGACCCCTACCCTGTCCCGAGGATCGATCTGCTGGTGGATGAGACAGCAGGCTGCGAGCTGCTCAGCTTCATGGACGCATTCAGGGGCTACCATCAGGTGTTCATGCACCCCGATGATGCCGAAAAAACGGCGTTCGTTACGGCGGACGGCGTGTACTGCTACATCGTCATGCCTTTCGGCCTGAGGAACGCCATGGCTACTTTTCAGAGGATGATTGGGATGTTGTTCAAGGACGTACTTGGAAAGACAATGGAAGCTTACGTGGATGACATCCTGATCAAAAGCAAGAAAAAGGAGGACCATGTCCAGGACATGGAGAGGGTCTTCAGCATCATGGAGAAGGCCAGCATGAGGCTCAATCCGAAGAAGTGCGCCTTCGCCGTCAGGGGCGGCAAGTTCCTCGGTTACATGATGAGCGAGCGGGGGATCGAGCCTAACCCGGAGAAGGTGAGGGCGATTATGGACATGGAGGCCCCAAAGAACCTAAAAGACGTGCAGCGGCTCACCGGGCGTCTGGCGGCCCTGAGCAGATTCTTATCCAAGCTGGCTGATAAGGCGATTCCCTTTTTTCAGATCATGAAGAAGGCCAATCCCTTTCAATGGACCC